CCAGCTTCACTGCCCCCGCCAGCTGGTTCCCACCCCCGCGATCTCCCCTGGCCAGCCCCACTGCCCTCTCTCCCCCGTCCAGCCCTGCTCCATGATCTCCCCAAGCCAGCTTCACTGCCCCCGCCAGCTGGTTCCCACCCGTGCGATCTCCCCTGGCCAGCCCTGCTTCCACTGGCCAGTTCCCTCCCTATCTCCCCCGGGCACCTCCACTGCCCCGACCCTGCTTCCCTCTGGCCAATATCCAACCCTTCCTCCTCCCTCCACAGCCAGCAATAAGAGCTCACTTGGTAACCCTCACTATGCCTCTGCTGGGAGCCTGAACCATACGGCTACATCCGCCCAGCCCGGCTGAGGGCTTGAGGAACCCAGTGCTGAATGGGCAGTCTGGGAGCCCGGAACACCCTGGCAGCCACGCTGAGGCCCGGTATTTTTTTCCCGCGGCCCGGTACCGGGCCGCAGCCTTTAATTTGAGAAATGCTGTCCTAGAGTCTCAGTTTGCATCTTTTTAGTGACACCATTTACCAGAAAGTATGATGAAATGATTGCTGGTTGTATGTGAAGCAGTTGCTGGGTAAAACTAACCTACTGAACTTTGTGGCAATAAACCATGATTCCTTAAAACATTATAATGCTTAGCCCAACTATTCAATTTGTCTCAGAGGAACACTTTCTTTGTCAGATGAATTTCATATCCTCCTTCCATATCCTTACATGCTCAGAGGAATGCGTTCTCTGTCAAGGGAATTGCAATTGTATCAATAAAAATGTTGCTGATGCACTTACAGTGCATCTCAGATAATGTAGTGTCCTACAGTACACCTCTCATTATGTGAGTGGAGCCTCTGACTAGCTATACAGCACCCACGTAAGTATTAGAACTCCTAACACCTGTTGTTAAAAAAGATGGCAGAAAACTGGGTTTTTTTTTCTTCTGTTATATTTTTGAAACCTCATTGACAGGTTCTTTTTCTTTCTTATGGTAGGCTTACAATCCGGAACCTGTACACCGTTCCAAGGGTTGCAGAACCCGTGTGGCTTACCATGATGTCTAGTACTTCAGAAAAGAACCAGCTATGCCAGCGCTTTGTGAAGCAATTTACACTTCTGATAGAACAGATCAACAAAAACCAGTATGTTTCCTCCTACATCATCCCTTCAGCCTGGCAGTAACTTCTGCTCTAATGTAGACAAACATAATAGGAAACACATGTATGAATATACTTACCTTTTTTTTTCCTGGCATCTCTTTATTTTTGTTTTGTTTTTTTTCTTTAGGTTTTTAGCTGCTTTATTGACGGCAGTGCTGACCTATCATCTGGCATGGGTCCCAACTGTAATGCCAATTGACCATCCTTCAACAAAGACCTCTGAGAGAGGCACATCACAATCTGTAAACCTGCTGGCAAAATCACATCCTTACAACCCTCTGTGGGCACAGCTCGGTCAGTAGAAAATTCTAAAAAAAAAAATTGGTGTAAAAACTGTTAGTAAATGTTAATCTATTTAATTGAAAGGTAGTATTCCTCTACAAATGCATCATTGGACATATGCAGATATTTAAAAAATAATACTTCATAGGTGGGTAGCTAAGTATAGAGGGGATGGTGGTGGAGAGAGGTGTCAGGGAGCTGGTTCTGGTTCTGATTCTCTGGTTCACTCTTCTCTTATATTAATGCTGCCTTGCAGTAGTCTTAGTTTAAGTCAGCTACTGATTTGTGCTTCTTCTACCTGAGGAGTATATCACTGGAGCTCACATGTATCCCCTTTATTAGGAAACAGAGGTGGGGCATGAGAGAGGCAGAGGTCCTGGCTATAATGTAGATGGGCAAGCAGAGTGTTCCCCCTATGCCAGGGAAATTCTGTGCTGGGCATTAGCAATGGGATTACAGTCCTTTTGCTCCCTCTCAGTTGCTCAAAGGGGTAGCTCACTATCTAGAGAATCTGGTCCCAATTCCTCAGATATATTACTTAGGGTATGTCTACACTGCCGCCCTAGTTCGAACTAGGGTGGCTAATGTAGGCATTCGAACTTGCAAATGAAGCCCGGAGATTTAAATATCCCGGGCTTTATTTGCATGTTCCCGGGCGCTGCCATTTTTGCATGTTCCCGGGCGCCGCCAATGAGGAGTAACGGTAGTTCGAATTAGGAGCTTTAATGCGAACTACCCGGCGCCCGGGAACATGCAAAAATGGCAGCGCCCGGGAACATGCAAATAAAGCCCGGGATATTTAAATCTCCGGGCTTCATTTGCAAGTTCGAATGCCTACATTAGCCACCCTAGTTCGAACTAGGGCGGCAGTGTAGACATACCCTAAGTAATATATCTGAGGAATTGGGACCAGATTCTCTAGATAGTGAGCTACCCCTTTGAGCAACTGAGAATTATCTTGATATATGGAATCAAGTGGATTCTATATAAGAAGCATGTGACTGAGAGCTGGCAAAATATTTATAACTGGCAGTTTTATTCATCTCTGAAAATTCCTCTTCAGGCCCAGTGTCTGTGGACATGAATGTTTGCAGAGTAGAAAGTTACATGCATAAAATCTCTCTCTCAAAATTCCATTATTTGGACAATCCCTCCCTACCCCTCGATTTTTTTTTTTTTTCTTGCACTCGATCTGTTCAATGTAAAAAAACAAAAAAACAGAAAATTCAGTGCAGTTTTAAAGAAGCAACTTGAATAACAATAGCTCTGTGTCAGTATCAAGTTCGTTTGCTTATCTGAGCAGATCCCAACTGCTGGGCTATGGACTGCTGCCAGTCTGCGACCTGCTGGCTGCCCGGCTGCAGCAGCTACCGAAGCTCAAGCTGGCTCTTCATGGTGGCTCAGCTTTGGCAGCCATGGTGGCTGTGGCAAGGCAGGAAGAGGCGGAGCAGGAGGAGCCACTCCACTCCTCTGTGCTTTGGAAGGGAGGGAGCATGAAGGAGGAGGGAGCACACGTGCCACCACTAGGGCTGAGGAGGAGGAGGCACCTCCCTCCCCTCCTCGGTAATGGCAGCCAGCCGGGATGCCGCGCTCTGCCTGTATGGCCGTTTTTGCTAGCAGTAGCACTGAGGTGGTGGCAGGAATAGACAGAGGAGGAGATGCCTTCCTCCCCTTCGCCCCCCCTGCCTGTAATGGCGGCCTATCAGGGCTCCACGCTCTGGCCCCAGGGCCGCTTTTGCTGGCTGCGGCAGGAGGAGGCGGAGAAGGAGGCACCTCCCTCTCTCCCTCCTTGGTAATGGAGGCCCGGCCAAGGCTCCTTACTCCCCCCACTCAACCCATTGGGGCACAAGACACGCTTGGGGAGGGAAGGGGCATGAAGGAGGGAGTGCATGCGCCACCAACAGCCGCTCCTCTTTCCGCACAGCTCTCTAGCGGCCAGCCTCGCTCTGGGGAGTAATGAAGGGGGCGGTCAAATGGGTGTTGGGTGAGGATGCTGGCATGGGTTATAGCAGCAATTATAGGCCCCACCCCCTAATTACAGGCCCTGTGGGGGTGTAGGGGGAAGGAGCTCAGCCCCACCCCTTTATCCCTCTTGCTGCTGCTGAGGTGCTTCAACAGGGCCAGCTCTGAAGGCGCCACTTAACATGGCCATGTGGTCTGGGGCTAGCCCCACAGGCTGGAGGTGCTGCTGACATGGCGTCTCCAGAACCGGCCCCGGGCTGCGTGACCACGATAGCAGCACCTCCAGGGCAAGCCCCGGGCCACAGTAGCAATGCCTCTGGGCTGGCCCCAGGCTGCCTGGCCATGGTAGCGGCGCCACCTGGACCAGCCCCAGGCCACAGTAGCAGCAGTAGCAGTGCCTCTAGGGCTGGCCCTGGGTCACGGTACCAGTGTTTCCGGGGCCAGCCCCAGGCTGCGCACTCACGGTAGCGGTGCCTCTGGGGTGGGCTGCAGTAGCGGGGCTGGCCCAGGTTGCAGTGTTGCAGAGCGGACCTGGGGCCGTGTGGCTGTCGGACCTCCGGGGCTGGCCCCAAGCTGTGTGGCTGCAGCAGGGGTGCCTCTGGTGCAGCCTGTGGCCCTGGCACTTCTGAGGGTGGCCTGTGGCTGTGGCTAGGACAGCATGGCTGCAGCCATTTCTGCAAGAGATCACGAAGCCGGGTAAGGTTCCCCCTCATATCCAGACCCCTCCCCCCTCCTATTCTGTCACTTCCCTCCCCTCCAATACCCAGCACCCCTAGCTTGCTCTGACACCCTCCCTTGTTTTTGCACCCTCTCTCCTGGCCACACACTGCACCCTCCCTTGTTCCTGCTTCTTCCATCTGGCCAAACACCCTATTCCCAGCCTGCTTCTGCACCCCAGGTCCTTCCCAGATCCTGCACCCTATCCCTATCCTACTTGCTAGCAGCCTTGTCTACCACCCTTATTTTTGTCCCTACCCCAGAGCCTAAGGAGGTCCATAAAATCCACTAACTCCAGAATCCTAGAAAAGTAAATCTGGCCTATGGGAAACTCTGAACCTCAGTTTCCCCCTTCCCTTCTCCTCACCCTGTGAGGTTGGGACACCCCGTGAGTGAGGTGTCAGTCGGGGCCACATCAGTGAGAACTGGGGGGCTTTGGAGGGGTTTTTTGCTTCTCACTTGTGTGATCTTGAATTGATTTTGTTTTTTTGGGTGGGTCAGTGACCCCCAGACCTAAAATGGCTTCTTCACTCCTCCCATAAATAAAGAAAACATTGAAACATTTTGTGTTGGATAGAATATATTACTTAATTTAAAATGAAGTTTGATAAACTAACACGAGGAAGTTAAAACACTTAATCTGTTTTATAATTTAAATTAACCTGTTCTTACTAGCTGCAGCTGGTTCAGACAATAAGGTCACCATACCCAGCAGCATAGTTCTCAACCTGCCCCTTCCTCCTGAGGCCCCGCCCCTTCCAGGTTGGCCTGCGGCCACTTCCAAAATTTCTGGAAGTGGTACCCCCCCCCTCCCAAAATTATTGCCTATCCCTGGGCTATAGGGATCAGAGGTTAAAGGGTCAAAGGGCATAGGGAGCAGGGGTAGGGCGTTAAAGGGTGTAAGGCACTGGGTTGGGGCTAGGCAATCAGATAACATTGTATTTACATATTTGCATGTTCATTATTTGCATAATGAATAGGCAAATATGCACATAAAATATTGCTGGTCTGCCAAAGGTTTGTGAATGGGTTTGCTGGTCCCCAGCATAAAAAGGTTGGGAACCTCTAGTTTATCTCTCTCCCTTTCTCATTCATAAATTCGTGGAGAGTTGTATTGCTTGCTTTAAAAAAAAAAAAAAAAAAAGTTATTGAGTTATTGGGGGGGAATTGGGTGTTCTGGGGTTCAGGTAAGTGGGAACTGGTTTGGGGAAATAAGCCATGGCTGAGGTTCATAACCAGCTAGAGTGGAACTGTGGAGTTCCTCCTTTGGGCAGTAGATCTTGTCCTCTCTCTCAGCAAAAGTTACCAGTGGTTCTTTAGGAAAAGAAGGGAAATGAATTGTTACCAAATGTGGTAACCCAGTACCTACATTACAGAGTAGGCTCCATAGGAAGATAATACTAGCTTTAGAAACCCAGGCAAATTCTAATGGCTGAGCTCAAAATGTCTCAGTTCTCTCTTCTCAGCACAAAAAAGTGAGTTTAGGTGTTATAATTTGTATTAATATGAAGTAAAATGTTGCCCTCTGGTGGTTCCTTCCTCAAAAGACAGGATTCATAGTACAAATGTACTTTCTAAAAACATTTTTTAAAGGATGGTATAGTATTTGTAAATAGCTTTTAAAATGGAGTTTTATATAAATGCATGATTTATTATTAAATTATACTAAAATGCTATGTTTGTCAAATGCAGCATTCTATAAGTAATAAAACCATATTGTTAATCAAGGAACTGCTCAGTCTCTGCAGTTCTTAATTTTTTGTTTACATTTTTCTTTTGAGCTGCCCTAATACTATTATTGCTCCAAGACTCTTCCTAAATACTAAATTAGGCTAGAATCCTGCAAGCAAGCAGTTGCTTTAATATACCCAACTGTCAGTCATAGAAATATAGAGAGCTCAAGATGTCATCTGTTGTCACTCCATGCTGAAGCTTACATAATTTATCTCTGAAAGGTGTTTGTCTAACTTGTTCTTATAAACCTCCAGTGATGAGCATTATGGAACCTCCCTTGGTCACCTATTCCAGTATTTAACTGCCATTATAGTTAAAACATTTTCTTAACATCTATCCTAAAACTCCTTTGCTGCATCATCTTCATAGCAGTCTTTAACATATCTGAAGGCTATCAGGTTCCCTCCCTCCCTTTCTTGGCAAGACTAAGGTTACACAGTTTTTCTAACTTTTTCTCATAGGTCAGGTCAGGCTTTCTAAACTTTATCATTTTTTATTGCTTATCTTTGGACTTCTTCAGTATGTTCTCATCTTTCTTAAAGGGTGGCTCTCAAAACTGGATACAGTACTCCATGAGAGGCCTCACCAGTGCCAAGTAGAGCAGGACTATTACCTCTCATGTCTTACATATGATATGCCTGCTAATACACCCTAGAATTATATTAGGCTTTTTTAACAACTGATATTGCTTCATATTCAACTTGTGATGCACTAGAATTCCTAGATCATTTTCAGCAGTTGTCGCTCTAACAGAAGGCTAGGATACACTTAATGAAGCCACACCAGGTACATTAAATATAGGAGGTTTTATTGCCAGGGCATATTATGCCTCTCAGCCTTCGTGCATTACTAAATGTGTGCTTCTCGCTGCGGAGAAGCAGGCAATTAAGCAAGCAAGTAAGCAAGAATCCAATGCTTACGCCCCTTCTGCCACAGACAGTCCCGGATCCTCCATTCATTCTCTCGAGGGCTAGTAGTGGGTGCTGCTCCAGCGTGGGAAGTCCCTGGGCACACGCGCACACACACGACCTAGGTCCACAGGTGAGACTGTTCCCCAATCAGTGCCTTTCGGCCATCTTATAATTATTCCTTTCTTAGGGGCATAAACATTCACAAGCAGATTCTGGCAGGAAACACCATGGCTATCTAATTCTCAGACCTCATGTCCTTGGGCCTAATTATCTCACAATTTGTTGATGCAACTAAGGAGGCCTTGGGCTAGGTCATCACCAGTTAAAACCGGCTCACTGCCGTCTTTAGCCGGACCGTCTGTAATAAGGTGCAGGGGTAACTGGTGGCCAGCCCCGACAGCAGTACTGCTGCCTACTCAATTATTCCCATTTTGTTGTCTATTTGGTTTTTACTTCTGAAGCAAAGTACTTCGCATTTGTCTTCTATTGAATTTCATTTTGTTGATTGCAGACTACTGTTCCAATTTGACAAGATCTTTTTTAAATTCTAATGCTGTCCTCTAAGGGGCTTGCAACCCTTCCCAGCTTGGTGTCATCTATAAATTTTATAAACATACCGTCAACCCCATTATCCAAGTCATTAGTGAAATACTGAATAGTACTGGATCCAGGACAGGTCCGCTGCGTGATCCCGCTTGATACATCCAGTTTGACAGTGAACCATTGCTGATTACTTTTTTAGTAGACTTTCAACCAGTTGTGTACCTACCTTACAGTAATTTTAAATTTGACCACACTTTCCTAGTTTGCTTATGAGATGTCATTTGGGGCTGCAACAAAAATGTTACTGAAATAAAGGCACATCATGTCTACTGGTTTCTCTTCCCCTGCCCCCGCTCCCTACGGCCCTCATCAGCTAGGTCAGAGTAACCTAGTCAAAGAAGGAAATTCTTCTGGTCTGGAATTACTTGTTCTTGACAAATCCTTGCTACCTAGCTGTTACTTGTTAGTCCTATGATCCTCTAGGTACTTTAAAAACTTACTGCAAGCAACTATTAAACAATATTTTTTCAGGTATTGGAAATAATGTTGACTGATCTATAATTTCCCTGGTCCTTTTTTTCTCTCCTTTTAAAAAGATATTTACAATGTTTGCTCTTCTGCAGCACTCTGGGATCTCACCCATCCTCCTTGTGATCTTGAAGGTAATTGCTAATGGTTCAGAGATTGCATCAATTAGTTCCTTACGTACTCTAGGGTACATTTTGTCAGACCCTGCCAACTTCAATACATCTAACTTATTTACAGTTTTTAACCTGTTCCTTCCCTATGCCTGTGGGACTGCTTGTGCGCATAAAGTAAATCTTGTGAGTGTGTTCTTAGTATCAAGGCTTTGATGTGGCTTTTAATCTTAGAAACTCTATTAAAAATGTCAGTTGGGCTTCTATTTGTTTCCTTATGATTTCCATAGCAACTAGGCTCAGCTTTTAAATAAAAGGACTTACTTTACTGGTCTCCATTTTCAAATGAAAATTATGTCTTGTAAGCTTTGTTTTGAAAAATAAAACTTCCCAATGGTGTTGAGATGACAGAGGTTGAATACTAGCGCACTCACGATCAACCCAGGAAAACATGCCAGGAGGCAAATAGAGGAAATACGTGGGTTTAGAAAAAAATAGAAGTAAATGGTTCAAGCCTCCATTAATTTGTGAGGAAATGCATTTTTAAAAATGAAATTTAAAATAATTTCCCAAATTATGTAAGTGTGTTCTTACAAAGTATGTAGTGAGTGTCTGTTTTCTATTTTTGAAGCTTGTAGTGTAACTACCTACATGTTTGTGAAGTACCTGTTTCCCTATATGTTTCTATAGGTGATCTGTATGGTGCCATAGGCTCTCCCGTTAGGCTGACACGGACTGTGATTGTTGGAAAACATAAGGAATTAGTTCAGCGTATTCTCTATGTTCTGACATACTTCCTGCGGTGTTCTGAGCTACAGGAAAATCAACTGACCTGGAATGGGAAAGTTGGAGAGGAGGAGCAACTGCTAAATGGAAGCAAGATCACAACTACATTGGAAAAGGGAGAGATTGAGGAGTCTGATTATGTGGTTGTCACTGTTAAGAATGAACCTGCTCTTGTGCCTCCAGTCCTACCTCCGAAGAATGGTGGAGATCAAACCAGTAGCACTCTGGGGCATGTTGGTAATCCAGAGAGCTTTCCTGCTGTGCCAACGTCTTCAAAAGAAAAGAATGAAGAAGTAACAGGAATGGCTGATCAGATCTCCAGGGTCTCCTGTATTGCATCAAAAGACTGCACAGTTGGCAGTCCTGAGTGTAAAGGAATGGTGGATGACAATAAGAAAGGGAAGGTAGTTGATGATATAGAAGCTGAGTCCAACCATTTTGAAGAACAAATAGAATCAGAGGATTTAACGGAAGAGTTAAAGAATAGCAACCAGGCCACGAGTGAAGCAGCAAAAAAGCCATATGACAGGTCATCTGCTGTACCATGTCCTGAGAGATTTGTTGCTAGGACTCCTTCGTTAGAAAGGGTCTCCTTCCAGATTGGAAGTTCTACATCACCAGAGTCAGATTTAGAAAGTCACAGGAGAGAAATGGATGAAAATTTTAGGGCATTCAGAAAAAGCTGTACTTCAAGTCCACCAAATGTGCCTGCAGAAACTCCTCAGAGCCAACACGAAACTTCCAAAGCCCCCCTTAAACCATTACACATTAAGCATAATATCTGTTATGCACAAATTTCATCATGCGAAGCGAGTGCAAGTATATTTGAATATTTTGCTGAGGGTAATAAAATTGAAACGAATGTAGTAAATACGTCTGGCTTGTCAGATGAACCACTGAAGTCATCTGATAAGAAAATAGAAATGAGAAAACCACAAACCTTAGAAGCTGGAACTCTGCGCTCCAAGAATGGGGAGGACCATTCATTTGACTCTGTTAAAACAAGTTCTGATTTAAAGGACTCCGGCCAAGTAGTCACTGAAGATGTCTCCTATGGGGATCCTGGAAGGAAAAGCCCCTTGAGAACTGAAGGGGAGATTCGTAGGAATGAGAGTTCAGACAGTGCACTGGGAGACAGCGATGATGATGGTGCTTCATGTACCTTTGATCTACACCCTCGAGGCCATATCAGTAATAGGCATGAAGAATTTACAGAAGTAGAACTTCCTTTACCAAGGTAAAGAATGTATTTGAGTGAGTCTTCTACTAAGTGGGGTCAAACATTGTTACTAGTCAAGAGTTGTTCCAGTCATCTGTAAAATTCATGGGGGCCTTAACTCAGTTTCTTGCTGCTGTGTCAGCACTGTAAAATAGCTTTTGTAACTGGGTCCCTTGTTGGCAGTCTCTGCAAAAGGCCTAGGTTGAGTAGGATGATAAACAATTATTTTGACATGCAGTGATCATTTTTGACAGGGCTTCTTTTCTTAGATATTTCTGATCCTTTGGCAGGGCTAAGACCCATCTGATGAGGTAGGGAGCATGGACAGTTACTGTCTTTTTGCTTTGAAAGCTCCCCTGTCTAAAGCATAAGCATTACATTTGTTTACTTAAAACCAAACAAAATCTTTGACTGGTCTCAAGTACTTACATCAAAGTTACTTTTAATATTTGCTGGAAATCACTATTATAGTTAGGACTACAAAACAATTTCCATTATAACATCTCCATTCCTACCTAGGCTCTGAGCTGTACATGGAGCCCTTGTAAACAGGTGGAGCTCTATGTACTTCATTCAGTCAATTATCTGGGCTTTATTATGGTTATGGATCTTGAAAACTGCTCCCTTGGTGCTGAAATGTTCTATCTTTGGCCTCTGGCAGAAGGTGAACATTTTTCAAAATCTGAGCAAAATATTTTCCCCATCCTTTTATGTTTAGAGAGAGCAAAACAATGCATACGTTTTCCCTCTGTTTACAAAATATTCTAATCAGACTTTTGGTACATAGGATCAATGAAGGCTAAAATTTAATGTAAGCATAATTTTGATGCAAGATGGATGCCTTTGCTTTGTTTGAGACTGCATATGCATTTAGTTATGCATTCATTGAACCAAGCAATGAACTCTCAAGCTCAGCAAGCCAATTAGCAGTGAAACCAAGGTGTGTGTTTATTACACAAGGCCTAATGGTTGCAGACTTGTCATCTTTTCTTAAAATCTAGGAAACTAAAATGTTCTGAACTGTTTAAAACTAGTTAGGGGATATTCAAATTCCTACATCAATATTAATTCTATATTGTTTTTGTTTTTCCTTACGTGTGGCTTCATTTAGCGTTGCTTAATTTTAAATGCTAGATGACATGTTATGTAAATTTAAGCAGACTACAGAGTGAGGCACAGAGTGAGCCCGAGGGCTAGTTAATGTCAGGTCTATCAACAATATCTAAATGCAGTCTGTCAGATAAGAATTGTATTCGTTTCATGTATCTTAACATCTTATGACAAGTCTGTTATGCTGACAATGTCACCATACGCATTGTGCCTATAGGAGGAGTGGGGAGAGAGTTCAAAAGGGTAGCTATGCTCTTGGCTTTTGAATGGGCTTCATATTCTTCTGTTTCAGATCCAACATAATCAGCAGTCCAAGTGTGAAAAACTTTGGAAGGTCACTTCTCGGTGGTTACTGTCCCACATACATGCCTGATCTGGTACTGCATGGAATAAGTAATGATGAAAAACTCAAGCAGTGGTTACCAGCAGATCTGCTTCATGCAGTGCATGTAGGTTTCCCTACGTTTTTTCAGAGCCACTGACCTATAATAGTAGGAATGAAAGATCTTACTGAGAACATGGGGGAAAGACAGAGGATAGTTCCTGTTGAGTAAAACCATTTGCCTCCAATAGGAAAACGTCACACTTCTTGACTCGTGGAACATGTGACGCATATACCACTTTCATATATGTGCTTTCATTTGTACTATGTAAATCTTTTATAACACAAATATAAATAGGAAAATATAATTCTGTATTTACAACTTGGAAAATGTAACACGTTTATTCTTTATATTAGGAAAAATATCATATTGAAGTGCTTCCCTTTTCAGTCGCCTTAACAGGCTGATAGCATTGTAACATACATAATCAAGATGGTCCGCAGATACCTGGAAGCTTGTTAATACACAGTTGCCACCTACAACAGTACATATTATTATGAATATTAGAAATCTTTACAGGGACTGAGATTTTACTAGATGCCATTAGCACATCTATCTGACAGCAGATTGTAGTTGGCCATAAGAACAAACTTCATCATATATTAGACCATGTCTAAAATGTCTAATTTTGCTCTGTTTCTATGTTCAAAACAAGTAATTTATTGTAATTGATCTATCTATTTATAGTTGCATAGTAAATGCTGACTAAAGATTAACAAGCCCTGGTAGCAGTCATTAAGTGCTTGGATGTTAGCAATAAAAAGAATCATGTTTCTCTAATGGACTTGTTTTTAACAGAGCAATGAAGTTATAGTTTTTTCAATGCTTACTGAACAGAAATTTGTCTTAAAAATATACAGGCCATAGGTTAGCCCCAACCTAATCCTTTCTGCCTCCCTTGTAATAGAAAGCAGCATTAAAGCTGATCGTATAGCGAAGCTGGGATTCCTTTTGTATAAAGGAATTTGCAAATAGTATATAGCTATCTCTTTCACACCCACCTTTTTTAAAAAATCAACACATTTGACTCGTGTATTTTTTTTTCCTTTGGCCCCAAATCAAATTTGTCTTATTAGTTAGTTCACTGTAAATAATAATAATAAAAAAATCCAAATTATCTGTGGTTTTAGACAAAAACAATGTTTGGTCTCATTTGTTTGACACACTCTTCTCTCTTAACTATTTCCCCCCACTTAAGTGCTATTGAAACCTTTTAGTCTCATTAGTGTTGAAAATATTTTGAACAGCTAGTGTTGTTGTCTGTTGCAGCATCCAGTTCTAGATGAGCCCATTGCAGAAGCTGTCTGCATTATTGCCGATACAGATAAATGGAACGTTCAGGTGGCTACAAGCCAGAGAAAGATGACAGACAATATGAAGCTTGGCAAAGATGTCTTAGTATCCAGTCAAGTGTCCAGTTTGCTGCAATCCATTTTACAGCTTTATAAACTCAACCTCCCAGCTGACTTTGTAAGTATTTCTTTATGAACAACTGTGGCTAATGATAATTGTTCAGTCATATGTGCTAAACTGCTTACGTTAGAGACTTCAGGTATTATCTATTTGATTTTTAGTTACTGTGAAACTATTTAGTAAATATACTTAACATGCACAGTGCTGCCCACCTACAGATACACTACATGCACAAAACCATATTAAAAGGACATTAAGATAGCAAAGTCAAGGGCAAGTTAGTAAATGCCAGAATTAAGGATGCCTGATCAACCTTAATTCAGACCCTTAATTCAGTTTTTCTTCTGGGTCACCCACCCATTGTTCAGATCAGCAGACTGTGTTTTGTATGGTACTACAAAAAACAGAGACCAGCTCTGAGCTATAGGCAACAAACCCCAATGGTATGTTTATTGTGGCATTTCAAGATTTATTAAAACCCAGCTTTAGGAATGTCAGTGGTAAGTAGAAAGAGCAAACTAAAATCAGTGTGGATGCTGCTAAAATAAACCTTTTTAATAAGAAACATCATATAAAATGTTTATAGCCCAGTTTGAGATATTACCTCTGACATTAAAACTGATTTGTAGATAATTTTGCACTTATTCAATGGTATAAGTCGTAAAGGAAGCGTAAAAAAAATCCACTTCGCATCTCATGCCTGTGTAGGCATGATGAGCCTGAACTCTTCAGCCATCAAGAATGAGAGGAATTTTCCCAAGGAACCCACACATCACATTTACAAATTCTAGGTATCTCCAGACGTTTAGCTGCTACTCAATGCATGGAGGTGTTTTGTTTGTAAAGTTTACTATACAGGAGTGTGTGATGCTGCAGAATCTGCTTTAGAATACAGCGTAATGAAGAGATAAACTCTTCTCTTTATTGTCATCTATATTCTTTACTTTCATAAAATTTTTAATCCCCATATCTGTTCTCAAGTATGTGAGAACCATTATGAACTGAAAGGATGTTTTTTCAAATATGTATTTATACTGCTGAAGGACATCTAAAGAATATATGGTATCTTGCCTACCACGGACAGCTCTCTTCTGTTTTAGACTTCAGTTAGCAAAAATGTGTTGTATATTAGCATAAAATACCAAAGGAAATTCAAATTTGTAGGACAGTGTTAGGAATTCCACATGCTTGAACAAATGTAGTGCTTTTATTCTTTAAACTTGAGAAATACACTTAGGTCAAATTAAGTTACTTGCTTCTAATTGCTGCCTCTTCTTGTCAGATGTGCTCTGCAATGTGATTTACTGCATATGCTGCTTGCCTTCATTTCTTAGGAGCACGCAAAGCTGCATTATTTTGATTCTGGTGGACTGGTCTTTGCTGTAGAGAGATGATGTATCAAATTTATTTCATATTTGGTTTGGGATAAAGTATCTTACCAGTCCCCATTCTAGCACTAAAAATATTAATTGTAATTCTAGCCCCCGGGTAATTTTGCCATTGACTTCAGTGGTACCAGGGATTTCCCTCATATTTTGAAACAAGCAAAGTCCCATTCTGTTACCAGTCAATTAGATCTTCTATTTTCCCCTTTTTGTATCTCTTTGAGGGTGGGCAGAAGCAGTGCCACCAAACATTTGTTCTGGATTTCTCTGACATAATTGCTCTGTTATGTAAATTCTCTTTTCATTCTATAAAAAAAAGTAACTGTACTTATTTAATATTAAGGTTATAAACTATGATTTTTTTAAAAAAGTCTAATTATTAAATTACCAATTTAACTTCAACGATCGCCTTTTGAAAAACAGAATTTGATTCAGCAGGGTTTCAGAACTAGTATTAAAACTTTTTAATTCTAATACTACAAAATATTTACCAGGGCTTCATAAGTGAGATTTTAGAGTAAATTAATAAACAAAAGAATCTGTCACTACAGCCCACATCATTGTCCTCACAACTTGATTGCAAATGTAAAAATATACAATATTTAAAAAAATAAAAAGTACTCCATTTTATAATTTAGTTTTTTCAAGAATGGAAGTTCTGATTTTAGATTCAGCTATTTAAGTTGCATCTTTCAGAAAAATAGTAAATTGTAAAGAAGACATAGTCAATATTTTCAGGTTTCAGATGTCTTTGGGTCTGATCCAGCTTTTAATTAAGTCAGTGAAAAGACTACAGTAAGAGTTGACTACAGCAAGAGTTGGATTTAGCTGTTTGACAGATGTGCAACAAAGGTGCTAATCGGGGAAAAACAGCCTGACCCAAATCTATTTTACTACAATTGTGTTGACCACTTGAAAACAAGCAGCATGCCCATTCTTCGGGGGGTTTTAGCTACACTTTACGTACATCATTCCTCCAGGTATAGTAGCTATAAAATTATATTATATAAAATAAGTTTGCACCTTTACAATGGTTTCACATGAAAGCTAATCAATTCTTGAAATTTCTGGTGTGTTTTTTACAGTGTATAATGCATCTTGAGGATAGGCTACAGGAGATGTACCTCAAAAGCAAAATGCTCTCCGAATACCTGCGAGGACATACAAGAGTCCATGTAAAAGAGCTAGGAATTGTATTGGGGTGAGTATGATGTAAAGCTGCAATAAACTGCTGTTTAAGATTGGGTGGCTAACTTCCCTTGAAGTTCAAACGCTACTCCACTGTTTAGTGAGAAGGCTTGCTTCTCTTTCACACACAAACCTACTGGACAGTGAGATGCTAAGTAAAAGTGTGAAAATGTGTGCCTTTGAGCTGTTTTTTTTTTAAATTTATAATAAAGAACATTATTTTTCATAAGCAGTTTGACAGGATGAAACAAGCAAAGTCCCATTCTGTTACCAGTCAATTAAATCATCTATTTTCCCCTTTTTGTATCTCTTTGAGGATGGGCAGAAGCAGTGCCACCAAACATTTGTTCTGGATACAAAAATTATGTGTGGAGAAATGAACAGCAATTCTCTATTCAGGAGATAGTCAAAAGTGTTTTTACTCAATATGCAGCCTGTACATGTGCATCTGTCAACATCCTGAAACCCAAACACACACAACTGTTTTTAGTGTGTTAATCGGGCTGGCTTCTGCTCTTTGCTCCTCTTTCCCACTAATTTTGTTCTCTACAATAATTGAAAAGCCCATCTTTAGAAATAAGACAGACAGAAATCAGTTCTGATATTAATTCACTGTAACGGTTGAAAATACAGGCTAGCCTTCTTGATAGGTTATCTTCTTATTTAAATATAATATAAGAAGTTGGTGGTCACACCCATTCTGAATCTTCAGAATCTTACTGCTGTTAATCATGTGTGACAAAAGCAATAAGTGGTTTTCTTTTTGTTATGTTTTTTTAAAGCAGCTCTGAACAGTAACTCAGAATCACTACGGTGAATAACTTGGTTTTGTTTATGAAGTTTTTCTCAGTTCACTTTTCAGCCTTACTTCTCTGGTCCCATAACCAGATGAAGATACTGTGACCACTTTTTCTTCTCTCTCACTCTATCAATCTTATATGTATTGTTTTTCATTATTTGGATTACAGTAAAACTCCATTGGTCTGGCATCCAGTGCTCCGGCACTCCTAATGGTCCAACACCATTGGGAACCCGGAAATATTCCGGGCAGCCGGACAATTGGAGCTGCTCTGTGCCCGGCTTCCCCGATTCAGCTGTTGCTGAAACTAACCAGCAGCTGAATGAGGAAGCTGGGGGCAGAGCAGCTGGGGTGCTGCCAGCTGGGGTGCTGCCGGGACTACAAATGGTCCCGTAGTGCTGCCCCTTGGGGGCGCGGGGGCAACACCGGTCGCACCACCC